CAGAGAGCCAGATATTATGAATGATATTTGTTATCAAAGAGCGTAAATATGGACATCGTTTAAAAACAATGATGGAAATTTTGTCACGGGGACATGGAGTGGCTGAAGATTTCATACGCCGAATTACTGATGTGATCTTTTCATAAGAAGGAGGCTCCAAAGGAAAAGGGTGGTCAGGCTCCCTAAGAGATGGAATCCATGAAGGAATAGAAAAGTTTTTGCATGGCAACAGAGAAGAAAACATTTTAAAGAAATACTGAGAGCATTGATCTCTGGAAAAGGATGGCAGCAGAGTCGAGCTTGTTTGGAGAACGCGTTTGACGTATCCCCAAAAACTCTTTGAAATGAAGTTATCGTGATTTGAGATGTTTTTAACTACGGTAGAAGCAGATGAGTTAAGTCGTTGTCGTAAGAGCCGTGAAACGTATTTAATTTCAATGACAGGTGCGCCGTTTCTTTTCAATAACTGTAGTTCTTTTTTCAATTTTTTGGTAGCATGGTCTTGATATTTTGCAGCAAGTTCTTCATTTACTTCTTCGACAAATCCGCAAGTATCTCTGAAATAATTATAAATTGCTTGATTCATTGACTGTATGGATTGATCAATTGAGGACAGGTCCATGGGGTTGATTGTAAAAAAGTATTTGAAGTATTCGTTAGCGACAGTCCATTCTTCATTTGACCTTGGAAGACAAACGCCAGGTTTCAGTTCAAAATATTCATTCAAAGAGATATCGGCCAATACAATCTCATTGTCTAGGGTTTCCTCTGATACCTGTTCGAAAGTGTCGTCACTTTGGAAACCGCTAATGACTCGACATCTCCTTTGATGCATTTTCAATCCTTTCATCCCCTTGCATTCTTTACCACAGGAGCATTTGATAATTGATCCCGACGGGCCACTGTCATTGTTGTCCAACCGTCGCTTGCACCTCCAAGTATGGCGGCCTAAGGCCTGAAATTCTTTACCGCAGAACGAACAAATTGCGAAAAACAGCAATATCCAAAGCACGAACGAACGAAACATATTCAAAAAAAAGATACTTTGTTGACACAATAAAAAATAAGTAGTATTTGAATCCGTTGATGTAAGTATCCAGGCAGTTAAATAGCTATAAAACGAGAGCCGTGCACGATGGCATCTGTGCGCCAAAGCTCAACGACAATAATAATAATAATAATAATAATAATAATAATAATATATCTCGCCAAATCTCCGTTTCGGAGCACAGTTACTATACCACAAACACAGAATTGCCAGGAAAGACGTCATGTGCAGTATAGTTGCGGATATGCTGAAGAGAATCTTAAAGGCTTTTGCGCAACCGGCATGCTTAGCGGCATGGAGAAATTGAC